TCATTGGTTGCCCTCTCCCCTCTTTGGAAGAGCCTTATAGCTCCCACTGCCTTTAGAAAGTTCAAAACATTCTCAAAGATCCATCTCATCCTGGGCACCCTTTTTTTGAATTATTACCATCTGGCAGACGGTATAGAATATTAAAAACAAGCACAAATAGGATGAAAAACAGCTTCTATCCCAGGGCAGTAGCTCTTTTGAATTCTGCTGTATAGTGCAGTGTTGGTGTGGTGTCGGGGGTTTCCGGTTCAATGTTTGAAGGGTGAAGGATGTGTGCTTATGTTTATTTTCATGGTCATGGTCATGATGTGCACTGAAGATGGTGTTTGATTTTGCTGAGGTACAATGACAATAAAGTAAACTAAACTAAACAAGCTATTTGTTTACAGTGATGGAAGGGTGATCCAAAAAGATATACTTTGGTCCAAAATTTCAGGCTGCTATTGTCTTAATTGTGATTCAATTATTCTGAGGAACAAAAGCCTGAAACTAAATTCAATATATTTCTGATCACCTGCATCTATAAATTGTATGAGATTTGCTAGAGGTGTTGTAATGTAGACAGATGTTTCATGAATACCAGGGATGCTGGAAAACTTAAGGGAGGATAATTCTGTATTCTGGAGCAAACTCACTTGGTCTGCATCTTTCCAACAAATGAGAACACCCTAGAATCCATTATCTTACCAAGTTCTGTGAACTGGTCATCGACTGACTATTAAGTATTTTAATTTTTTAAAACGAGAACAGCATTTTTTAATTCTTAATATAAAATATCCACATGTGGGGAGCAATACATCACCATGTACTATCCCTTCTGCTGTATTTCCAACCCTATTTCAATGTGTTCAATGGCTACGGAACCTTCAAGCAACTTCAAAGTTCTAGAAAAACCTGTTTCAGATTTAAGAAGCTACCATCTCACAAATTTATTAGCATTTTGGTTTTAAAATTACGAATGCTGTGCAAAAATTACTTTTTAAAAAACCTGAACATGTAGGTTCAAATGGGACAAAAGAAACTTAATTGTGTTTTGAATTGTGAGAAATCAGCATGAAGAGACCTGAGATAGATTTTTTCTTAATTCTCAAACCTGGCACCTTTATGGGACCTTTTTCTTAGATAAGGTATGCTTCATCAATAAAAACATACAAGTTAATAGATTTCTGACTTTATGTGTGTTGAACTCTCAAGAAATACTAAACCCAGAATCTTGGATTATTGCCAGTAAAGAAAGCCACAAGGAAATACAGAATACCCTTTTAACCAGGGATACTGGTCAAGTAAGTTATGGAACCAATACAATAATTTACAATAATTTAACAAAATAAAGGTAAATAAATATTTCATTATATACAATATCTTGCTATAAATAAAACCATGGTTTTGTGCTTGTGTAAGGGCTAGGGATATCTTAGAAGATATTAGCAAAGGAATAAGAAAAGAGAACCAACAGTTGTAGATGAAGTACATCAAAAGATCTAAAGAGAGGGGACGAAGACAGTGCTAAAGACATGCAAAAAGGGAAAGCAAGAGGAATATTTCCAGGAAAGATGTTAATAGAACTGGAGCAGAAGATGGAAAGAGGTTTTGGCAGGAAGAGGAGAAGAGGGAGAAGATGTAGCATACTAATAGCATTGATCCATCTGACATCTTTTGATTTGCACTGATGATGTTACCTAGTTGGATAATAAAATGTCTGCAAGCAAAAATGAAACTCAGAAAGCACCAAGACCTCCAAAGTGCAACGCTGAGCTATATATATATATATTCTCTTCTGTTGAAACATCTAAGCCTTTGATGAAGCCCTTTACTGAAGAGAGTAAATCATAAATTAGCAGCTAGTTGAAGAATAGAAAATAGAGAACAGGAATGGACAATTTTCATATTGAAGAGATGTGGAAAGTGCTCCCTTCTCCGGGAATCAATATTTTGACTTAGTATCAGCATCATAAAATATATCCATATCTTTCAGCTTTTATATCTGAGCTAGAGTTAAGCATCAGTACTAAAATGGACAAATTTACAAATGATATCAAATTCTTTATAGCAATAAAATCAAAACATGACTGTGAAAAACTCCAAAGTATTTTCACCAAATAAGGTGAATGGGTCATAATATCAAATTCAGTTTGGTGTTACAAAAATGAAAGTGACAAGATACTGGTCTTACATGCTGCCCGTCCCTCACAGACACACTCAACATACATGTGAATCAGGTCTTTCCTAGTAATGACCGATCAGGAAAATGAGTCAGGAATGATGGTAAGGTAGTTTAATAAAAATACTAACATAACTTAAAGTTGTGACTGCTAAGTTGCTTCTGAGGAAATGAATGTTGGCACCTTGCAATTCTGCTGTTAGTGATAGTATTTTAGATTATAAACTCAAATGTATGCAATTCTGTTTTATGTTATTCACTGTCCTAAAGTCAATATTATATAATATGACTGTGTTTTATGCTCCATGAAGTAGAAGAAATTACTACTGAGGCACTTAGAACATTAAATCCAAGGTTAGGAACTGAGAAATGACCCACCCAGTATCTTGACACAGTCCTTGAAAACAGAAAGATATGTGTTTTAGGATTAACTCTTGCCTAAGAACTCCAAGCTACACTGTTATATTGCTAGTTGTACTTTTTTTTTTTATTGATATGTTTATAATGGAACTGGGATCGATAAGACTGGGTTAAATATCCTAGGAAAGCAAAAGTGGACCAATAAAATTTGAAGAACTACTAAAAAAAAAGCCTGGCTAAGTGACTTTGAGTCAATCACTGTTTCAGCTCAACTACTTTACAGAGCTGTTTTGAGAGGAACCCTGGAGGATTAGGTATGTTCACTGCCTTGAATTTTTTATAAAAATAATAAAGAGATTAAAAAATAAAATAAATAAAAAATAGCTATTCGGTGCTTTATAATTTCTAACATGATATTATGAAATGACTCTTCCTTGCCAATTTTTTTTGAAACAGGGTAATCCACAATGTGCAACACAAAAGGAAGAATTTTGTAATGCTCATAAATTATGCAGATTAAACAGATTTTATTTTAGTCACTCGCTTTTAGACATTATTAGGCAAAGAACTAGTATTCTGTGCTATTTTTCTGATAACTCAGACGGTACCTACCAAATTTAAATGGACATTGCCTGCCTCTTTTTAGCCTGAACGTGAATTATTTCTCTCAAATCTGGCATATTCCACATAAGTGGATCTTGCATTTCTTAGAATTGGGAATCTGGGAGTTACAGTCCCAATACATTGGGGGGGGGGGTGTTCCATTATAAACATATCAATAAACAAAAAAAGTACAACTAGCAATATACCAGAAGATTTAAGAGGTACTTCTTGAAAGTAAACACTGCAATTCTTGGGATACTGGTTGAAATGCCTGGAATTCAATTCAATCCAGTAGCTAAGCATGACATCCCAAACCATCCACACCGTCTTTAGGGAAAATGTGATTTCTGTCCTTTTTCTTAGCTCCTTCTGCATCGGACAGTAAGTAAATAATAGATGAATAAATCTGATAGATACTGGTTAAAGCAAAATGATATGTTATAAATATAGTTTGAGTATGTCTGTGAAGAATTTAGAAAGCTGACTTTTGGCTTCAGCATACTGAAACTTATATTAAGTAGCAAGCTGAGTGATAACAAAACAATCATCCATTATTACACCACATATCCAGTTCAAGCTTTTAAACCAGCAATACTAAATTGTCCTGTAAACTGTTCTTGCAAAAACTGTGCATGTGAACATTTTATGCTATATAGCAAACATTACAAACTTAGCAAATGCATTGCTAATGAAACCCTCATGTTCCTGAACATTAGTATAGTACTATAATCATACAAACTGAAAGCTAGTTTCATTATCTCTGGTTGCTAAGAGGTGAGAAAAATACAGTGAACTGATGTTTAGACAGACTTACCATATACCCATTTAAATTAATGGGACTTAAGTTATGACTAACTTAACCCACTAATTGGAACCAGTCTTCTCTTAATATGACTTTTCTGGGTTGAACTAAATAGATCACAGAATAGTCAGCAGAATATTTGAAAAAAGTCTGCATTAGTTAGCTTGTAGGCAGTTAGACTCATTTATTACAAATCCTTGACTAAATTAAAAAGGCTCTTCTGATACATTGGAAAATATGTGTTAATTATTAATGTTCTCCTTTATTTTATAAGATCTATTATTAAACATAATAAAAATGCAAGTGGCAGATGACATCATGAAGCCATTGCGGAGTATGGCAGGCTTCTGAGTAATGCCTTCCTCTTTTTCTGACTGTTATAAACATTCTTATTTTTCTCTCACTCTCTTTTTTCCAAGAGTGAGCCTATATATATATATATATATCACTAGAGGCACAGAGTGTAACCCCCATCAGTATTAGTTGTAATCCAAAAGCATGAAGAACATCAGATTGGGGAAAGGCGAAGGCATCATCTAATTTAAAAATAAATTCTTTACTTCTAAGCATTGTTTGCATAATCAGCAGAGCCACACATTACCCCCTCCCACACATACACTAAATTAGGCAATGTCCCTTTTATATTTAAGAATAAAAGTAGAAATTTCCCATCTCTATAATTATCCTGTCATTCTTTTTTAAATATTTGAAAACATATTTTCCAAGTAATATACTGTATCATATGTTATCTTGAATATATAATTCTTAAATTTTTACCCCCTTAAAGACTGACCATATACCCCCCCCCAAAAAAAAACCATAAAGAAGATGCGGTTTAGAGTATGCTGCCAGTTATCTTCAACTCACAAAATTAAAGAAAATAAAGATTCGATAGCATTAACTCTGTCCTCTTCCCTTGTTATTGCCTGTGAAATGAGTAAATGTTGAAATGAAATTAAAAACTTATTGTGGAGACATAGAGGTGAGTTGATGGCAGGGAAGGGGTTTTTTGGATGGGGGGTTTGCTGAGTGATCAGACCATGATGAAATTATGCCTTGTCTTAAAATGCTTACCTTCACTTACTTGGGGAGTGGGCAATTTTTCACCTTTAATTCTCAGTGCTGATGGATAGGTGCCTAGGTTTGCAAAAGCCAGCTTCCATAATAGTCCTCAGCCATTCTTACACATTTCAGCCCAACTTTCTAGAGCTACTGACAAATAAATAACCTCCTGCTTAGTTCCATCAGAGCTTCTTTTCCAGCAGAGAAATCAGCCACTGATGTTGATCCCTTCTTTATTCTAGTTGCTGATCACAAATGTTGGAGGAGGGGGTTGGGATAGAAAGTGAAGCTGGATTGAATAAAACGATCTCCCGCGAAAGAATCTTGGCCAGGAGAAAGGGTCGAGATTTCATAACATTATGAACTTTTTCAGAAAAACAAAAACATGCACGATCAGTGGTCCACTTGTAGTAAGGAAAAAACCCAAACGTGCTGGCTCCATCTATGGGTGCGGGAGCCAGGTATACAGCTAGAAAGGAAAGCATTATTTTTAAACTCTAGGTTTCAAGCAGGATTTATTAAATACAGTATTCCAAGTTGAATGGACCTGTAGCAGTTTGCCCGGGTGGTGGTGGTGGGAGAGTAGATTTTACTCGAGCAGCGTTTCTCCGCAGGCGCCGATTTAAGTACGGTCATCTTCCTAGCCACGCATTTTAGTTAAGAATTCTTAGGAACTGGATCACCTTCTAATCGTACTTGTAATCGGCTCGGTAAAACAGAAAGCCTATTTTGTTCAAAAAACAAAACCAAACCAAAGCGAACTATTCGGGGCCACGTTTTTTTGCAAGATAGCTTTTGCCAGTTCCTCTTACCTTCCACACACAGCGTTGGAAAACACCTCTCCTTTTTTTATAATCACGAGAGGGTGCCGAGAAAGTTATACCTGGGTCGAGTTGGGATACTTTTATTAGTACATACACGATCAAATTACACCCCGGCCAAAACAGTCGCCCTGTGATCTTTGGCGGGAATTTGTACCCACACAGTCTGCCCTCTACCTGCCTTTTAAATAAACTTCAGAATACGGTTTGCGTAAAATCCCGCTTACGCGACATTGCTCTAATTGGTAGGGTCTGCTGCGCACCCCTTGCCCAGGTGAAAGGACTTCAGGAGGAACAACAAAGGAACACAACGGGGGTGGTGGGTGGGTGGGGAATAAGCAATAACACAGAATCAGAACACAGCCCCCTGAGGGATTTGTACAGCGCTCAATGAAAGATGCTGCCCGTCCAGGGCATCCCTAAAGATCGCATGGGGGGGGGGGGGAGAGGGTAGAGGCGCTGTTGCCAGTTGAGCTAGGGAGTGGAGTTCATCTGGGGGGAAGGCGCAATGCCTGGGATTTTACTCTGCCTGATTCAATCGATCAACCGTTGTTTTTTAAAGGAGGGTATGGCGCGCGGGGGGGGGGGGGGGGGGCGACGGTGGGGAAGAGCTGGGAACTCGAGACTTCGGACTCCCCTCGGGCGGCTAATTGTCGATTGGAAAGGAGGAGGCGTTATTTACATACGGGAAGAGAGACGTGGCCAATGAAAAAGCGCTCTAGGTGCCGTGGCTCCCGACTGGCAAGCGGCAGGACCACTAAGGCACGAGAAGGCGGGTTTTTCGCGAAGGGGACTCGCGGCCAGCGCCGGTAGCTCGTGTCATTCCCGGTTGGGTAACGCGGCAGCGGCGGTGGAGTCGGAGCGGACGGCGGCGAGGGCAGGTACCCGGCATTGGCTCTCGGGTTGGGGGCGTCTTGGCTTTGTGAAGAGAAAAAAGGCGACCTGCCTGTGGTGCCTCGTCTCCTCAGAGAGCGGAGAGGTTTCTTGGTCGGGGAGACTACAGCCTCATCAGTCGGCATACGGGGGGGGGGGGGGGCGCCCCCCCCCCTATCTTTTCCCCTCAGAGGTCTCTTTCATTCTCTTTCCTGCAGAGAAATCTCAGCAGCTCAGCCTTTGGGTCGCTGCTGTGTGGTGGCGACTTGCTCTCTCTCATCCTTGTTAACAACCGCCACTCATTCCCCACCCCACCCCGTCCCTTCCCCGCCGCCGCCGCTGCCGCTGCTGCTGCTGCTTTTCCAGGTCCGGTTCCTGGGCCGCCAAGCTTTCTATTTCTTTGCAAGATGCTGAATGGAACGGGTCTGGTTTTAAAAAGAACATTTGTGGTTAAACACGAAAAGAAAACGAGAAATAACACGCCCCTCACCATCACTTTGACATGGAAGCCGGCCTAAGAATGATTGCAAATGCTGCGTCTGATCTGTAGGAGGAGCGGGGGGGAGGGGGAGAGAGAGAGAGAGACTGAAAAAGAGAGAAAAGGAGAGGGGGAAAGGCGCGAAGGAAGAGCCGGTTTGCTCCCAGCACCATGCCGAAGCAATCAGGGCTTCTGGGGATGTTGACGCACCTTGCGTTTGCAGCCTAGATTTCGTGCATGGTCCATTTTATAAACAATACAGTTGTAGCAGTAAATGTTATTAGCACACAACAAGAAAGTGAAAGGAAGGAAGGAAGGAAGGACAGAGAGGGAGGGAGGGAAGGCTTTTGGTTGCCACTTTTCCCTTTCTCTAATTGTCCAAGGATAATTTGGTTAAGGTGGGGAAGAGAGATTTAAACTCTTATCTTGTATCCTTCAATCACAGCCTTGGGAGATGGCTGGTTTGGAACTAGACTGCCAACTGCCAAAGTTAAACATAAAGATTAGAGAAGAGGCTTCATAGAGACAGTGAGTTATTTTTCTTCTGAGCCCCTCTCTGCTAAAGAGAGGTGTCCCCAAGTTCTCAGAGCTTTCAGTTTACCTGGAGGACTCCCACCTTGGTACCTTTCGGGGTTTTTTGGTTTGTGTGCTTTTTTACAGATTGAGAATGAGGTCTGGGCAACAGTTTGGAGAGATTTATCATTTTCATTCTAAACAGCCAAGCATGTAATTATAGTCAGTAAGCCAATAGGATTTAAATGGGCAAGGAGTGTATTGCTATAAATTTTGGTCTCAATTGACAAAAATCAATGGAAATCTTTATTATCAGATAGAAAGAGAGAGGAAGGAGAGAAAGAGTATTGTCCCAAGCTTATGAGCTTTTAAAAAAATATTTGTCAGAACCTGCCTACAAATGTCCTGATATGTAAAAGAGCAAAATAAGGAACCCCATGATCAAAAAGTTTTCTATGAAAGATCCATTGAATTTACTAGCAAGAAGAAGCCCTAAAATATTAGAGTGAAAGCACAACTGTCCTTTTAGTGGTTTCTATTTATTTTAAATTGGGATATGCATGAGAAACTGCTATCAAATTTATGCCTGAACCATGAAAACAAATTTATACTTGGTTGGTTTGTTTAGATTCATATGGCCATCCCTCTCGACACAGAGGCTCTGGGCCATGAACAGTTATGTTATAACTAATTACATTGGTTAAAAATAACATGTCTGTAATAAGCTTTAGCAACCAGATACTTTAATTTCCCTCCCCTCTTATTCATTGCTGAATATACTGTAATAAAATGTTCATTTGTCAAAAAGTAGCATTAAAAGTAGAATTATTTAATAGATTTATATATGGCCCTTGTATTCTACAAATCTAGTCAGTGTACGTAATGTTTCTTCCCCCATCTATTTTCCTCAACACAACAAACAACCTGTGAGATGAGTTGGAGTAAGAAAAAAAAAATGACAAGGACTTGTGCACAGCCAGCTTTCATGCCCAAGGGAAGACAAGGATCCATAATGTCCCAATTTCTAGTCCAGTGTCTTAATCACTGTACCAAAATTGGATTATTTGATAAAAATACATATTTCAGGTTTATTTAAAATACCAGAAATTTTTCTGCAGCCTTCACAGGGGTTATAGTTGCACTTAAAGAGCACTTTCCTTTTGCAAAATTAAATGTTCACTGGTAGAACCAGCTGAAAGATAGAAATTGGTGATGAGGAATTTTGAGTGAAAAAAATCTATTTGAAACCCCTTTAAGTGCAGCTTCCTTATATTTTTCATGTTGCATAGTAAATTTTCAAGAATGCCTACATAGTAAAGACAGCTGTAAAAACCCAGAGTATGAAGGGAAACTTAAAGTTGTAAGAATAAGTGCTTTCAGTTATCTTCCATTAAACTTTATATTAAACTTCCTCTTTTGAATACTACTGTATTAATAAGGACTTTCACAAATTAGTCAAAGTATTTAAAATTTGAAAAAGATTTTATTGCAGTTTATTTTAAAACTTAGTTTGTGGACATTTCATTGGGTTTGCTTTCTGCTTAAGGCATTATATACAAGAAAAATTGTATAAATTATTTATGTTCATTCTGTTTAACAAGCTACAGGTGAATTTACTTTCTTAAATCATATTTAATGACTGAACCATCAGGATTTTTGTGTAGACATGAGAACTTGTAACATTGATTGTACCAAATAGATTTAAGATTGATGTAAACCTACAAACATCACTCTTGTCTCACTCTGCATGTTATAATAGCCATTATTCTTCTACCTAAGCCATGTACTGTGAAAAAAAAATTGAGAAAAATCTCATCTATCTTCTCAGATGGAATAAAAGATAAACTTTTATTCAATATAGTTCTTCCCATGTAATAAAAGTTCAGAAGTGAATAGCAGAATATAGTTGAAAGTCTAGATAAAAAGGCCATAGCTATAGGCTGATAGCAATATTTATTTGATTATTTATTGTATTGCTGATCTTGCATGAATCTGATATCTAATTGTACTTATTTGTAGTTATAGTGCCTTTGATCTCTTTTGTCCTCCCTTAGCTTCATGAGGCACAAGGTGTACTGTATCTGATTTATGGTCTCCTACATTCCGGTCTAGATAGTTGCTGATAGTTTGGCTGGTGAGACTTAATACTGTGTTTATTTAGGTGCTGTCTTGTTACCAAGCTTAACAAATCTTTTTAATTATTCTCTCCAAGTAGCCATACAACATTTCTTTCAGACCGGTTGCCCTGATGATGGTTTTATTGCCCCCTTTTCTCTTGTTTGTTTGGTTTTTTTGAATAATACTTATCTAAAATGAGTCGTATCTCAGTAATAATATTTTATTGAAATTAAAATATACTGAAGAGAAAATTATTATTATTATTATTAATAATAATAATATATGCTATGATAATAAGTATAAGAATGTTAATTAAGTGGCATGACGTTACGTGCAGAGCAAAGCCAAACAGCCAAATTGCGAACACCTAAAGGCCCAG